AATTTCAGGACAGACAGGCAGAAATGCAACAGGAGGCAAACAGGTCAGAACGGATCAGAACAGGCTCAGAGGTCCAGAGGCAGAACAGGTCAGGATCAGGCAAACACCGAGGTACGCTAGAGAACTCTCACCATTGGCTCAAATAATCTGGCACTGATGACAGTTTGAGGGCAGGTTAAATAGAGGCAGGAGCAGGTGGATCAGGTGAGCAGTAATGAGCAACTGGGCGGTGCTGAGTTGGTGAGTGAATTGAGTAATCCAGCCAATCACCAGAGGCCATGACATGACAGCAGAAGCATCAGACGCAGCTGGAGCTTTACTGAACGTAGGAGCGTCGAAGATGCTGGAGGTGTGTCTCTAATACTTCTTTGCTGCTCAAATCGCAGGATGTGTAAACGTAGCATTAGACTTTCCGATTGTTTTAATTAACCTACATATGAAACATTATATTGCAGCTAAAATTATCTCCTTTATTTCCTTATGAAATTTCAACCTCTAGTCAAGCTCACATACTTCCCAGAATCCAGACAAAAGTAGTTTTGGAACAAAGACAGAAAGTTAGCTGCATTCCGCCTCAAAAAGCAGGAAATAGCATTTTAGAGAATCTTAGTTTCAACATTTTCTATGACAGGATACCCCCTGACCCAGATGCACAGAATTCATGAAACCTGAGCAGAGATCCTTTACATCATGTCAGTCCGGTCCATGCTTGTCCCCAGTCCTGCAGTTCCAGCGGTCTTTCAGGAACCGATCCTGGTCAGGGATCCAGAACAGACAGGAACAGGGAGGATCCAGGCTTCCAGGCATCCTAGAGCTCCCAGTCGTGTTCAGAGTCTGACAGGGTCCGGAAGCGGGACCAGGCGGTCACTCACAGGAGCAGACAGGATCAGGAGCAGAGGGTAGCCGAGGCAGGACGTGGAACCAGAACTTGATGCAGGACCTTTAAACTGGTCTCCACCTTGGAGCCAGGCTTACTGGGATAAAAACTGAACCTCCCCACATATAGAGCCAAAAACCCAGAGGGGTCCGCGGGGGAGGAACAGTGGACAATCAGGAGACGAGACAAACACAAAACCCCTTTTTACTGGCCACCAGGATCCAGGACATGAACCATGAAATAAACAGAACGGACTGGCTAACAGAAAACAAATAATGATCTGGCCCCGAATGCTCAGGCTGAACTGAATATAAACCAAAAGAAACAGGTGAGAGGAATAAATTATGATTGAGGCAGGGAGGGAAAACAACAGGTGAAAGAAATGACCACTAAAGGGAGAGCAAACAGGACAGATCATGACAATTAGAGAACCCAGGGAAATGGCAGCTCAGGGTTACAGGAACCATGCAAATCTATCAGGTGAATCCAGACAGGTGAGGTCAACTTATTAGTGAGCTGCAGGTCCAGTTTGGGGTTCTGTTGAACCAACACACACGAGTCCATCAGTCAACAAGGCTTCAGAAACCATGAATCCAGGCTGGGAAAAGGCAAAGATTAGAGGAAGGTTTTACTACTGGCTGCTTGGTTTGGTGTCAGTTCAAAGGGTTGGATCTTAACCCTGGTGAGACCAGAAGGAGCTCAACTCAATGAGGAGGCGGGGCTTGTTAGGGTTAACCCCCCCACACCTTTTCTGGTTACTGGATCTGTTTTCTATCTAAAAATGAAAAGTAACTAGTTAAGATGTCTTCTGTGTCCCTGGTGAGAGGAAGTGATGTAGTTTGAACGGCATCATTTTTCTCACAGCTGTTAAGAGGAATTTCTAATCCGGTGTTAATTGATAGAATCAGTTCAGACTCTCTAGGAGATAAAGACGGGGCATAGATTGAGTGCAGGCCACTGAGGAGGCTGTTCCTTCCGCTGCTGTTCTGACAGCAGCTCTGAAGTCTGAAGCTGGAACCGTTCTGAGCTAAAAGGGGATTTTCAGTCAAAGCTCCCACTGAGCTCTGCAGCAGAGCCGTTGACCCTTTCAATCACTTCGGCGAGATCAGATAGAGCCGAGGAATAACAACCACTTCCTGTTTCAAGGGGACCGCCATCTCTGAACACAAACTGTTCCTCCTCTGCGATCTTTTTGCCCACTTCACTTCCTGTAGCTCCTCCTCCAGCGACAGGGCGGGACCGTTGGCCGCGTTTAGGACTGCGAACCAACCTCAGGAGGGTTCTGGATCCGGCCAAGGATGGACCAGAACATTGGTAATGGAGTCTGAATGGTAGAGACACCAGGAAAAGCTTTCAGTGCAGAGCAGAGGCTGCAAAGAAACAGATGAGGGGGCGGGGGTTGGTTGGCGGGGGTGAGTGTGTGTGTGTGTGTGTGTGTGTGTGTGTGTGTGTGTGGGAGGGGGTGGGATGGGGGGGGGTAATAATACAGAGGAGATTGGGAGGAAGTCTGCTCTGTGACCCGAGAGAAGATGAGAATATTTTCCTCCTGAACAGAAGTTCAGTAAATCATGACGACCTGGAATCTGTTTTTTGTCTTCGATTTTTTGATAATATGAGACATTACAGATTACAGATTGAGATTACAGATTACAGATTACAAACACTTGCTTTGATGTAATGGAGCCTTTATTACACATGCTTGAGAAAAAGCATTTTCCATAACGTTCTCACCACCTTTAATCTGTTTAGTTTATGGATTAGAGGAAAGACTGAGGCCACAGCAACGCCTCACGGACGGACGGACGCAGCAACTACCTGCAGGGATGTGTCCTCACTTTATGGAGGAGGATTTATTATGCTTTTAGGATGTCGGCCATCATGGCCTCTGTTTACAGAAGAACCATCAGCAAATAAATTACAGCATTCCTCATTTTATTTATTTCATAGAAAAAGAACAGAACAGCTCTGATACAAAAGGGGAATGTAACATCTCGAGAATCTGACTAAAAAAATAATTTTTATTATTAAAGATCAAAGATTGGATTGATTCTGCAACATTGATGACATCAGAACTGCTGGAAGAAGCAATAGGAGGATAAAAATTATATTTAACACAAAAATGACATCAAGATTGCAGCTTCCAGAGTGGCTCTGCCAAACGCTGACCCAGTTAATGCAGTCATTTGTTTGCATAAACTGGGCTCTTAACTGGTTTAAGCCACTTCTTCCTGCCCACAACTTCTCACCTACTATTTCCCACATACTACTTCCCACCTACTACTTCCTGGCTACTACTTCCCACCTACTACTTCCTGGCTACTACTTCCCACCTACTACTTCCCACCTACTACTTCCTGGCTACTACTTCCCACCT